GTGAAAACTAGTGAGTCTTTGCATCTATATCTGTTTCACGTGCCTTTTCTTTTCTTTTCTTTTCTTTTTTTTTTGGGGGGGGGAGAAGGGCTCTTTTCCTTTTGTTTGTTTTGTCCTATCATGATGTATTTAGCGAAGTTTGTTTTGTTTTTTTTAATCTTATTATTATCCCGAAAAAGCCAGTTCGTGTTCTAATGAGAGACAGAAAAGGGGTGGATCCAGATGGGAGGGGAAGGGAGGGAGTGGGAGGAGTAGAGGGAGGGAAACCATGATCATGTTATATTATGTGAGGAGGGAAAAAAAGGCCATTTTAAAAAAAAAAGGGGGAGAAAAACAAAAAAAACAAAAACAAACAAACAAACAAAAAAAGACTTCCAAATTTGAAAAAGGAAGTAAAGTATGTTTTCTGTGTCAGGATCTTATATATAAAGCATAAATATCACACATGCCATAAAACTGTTAAACTTAAATTCAATAAAGTCTATGTAAAAATTATTTCTGTATTTCTCTGCAGAAACAATAAATACCCTCAAAAGGAAATTATAAAAATGATTTCATTTACAGTAGTAAGTATAAAAATAATGAAATACTTAGTAATTATTACTAAGCTGAATATTTGTATAAAACATTGATCAAATAAATTAAAAACATAAATGGAATTTTATTCCATGTTCATGGACTAGAACAATTAATCATGCTGAGACATCAATTCTACACACAACATTGCATGGATTTAACAAAGTTCATGCCAAAATCCAAATGAAAGTTTTGCAGAAATAGAAAATCATCCTAATAGCCACGTGGATTTATAAAATATATATATATATGAAAACAATCAAAACAATCTTGAGAAGGAACAAAGCTAGATGAATTCCTAGATGAATTCTTATACTTTGGGCTAGTGAGATGACTCAGTAGGTAAAATGCTTACTATCTTACCTGAGGATTAAAACTCAGACCCTTAGATCCTATATATGGTGGTTTGAATAAGAATGATCCTCATAGGCTCATATATTTGAATGCTTAGGAAAAAGCACTATTGTATAGGATTAGGAGGTGAGGCCTTGTTGGAGAAAGTGTGTCACTGAGGGTAGGCTTTAAGGTTTCAGAACTCCATGTCGGCCCAGGCTCTCTCTTCCTACTGCCTGTGGATCCAGATGTTGAACTCTTAGCTCTTGCTCTAGCACAATGTCTGCCTGCATGCCACCATGCTTCCTGCCATGATGATAATGGACTACACCCCTAAAGCTGTGAGCCAGCCCCAACTAAATACTTTCTTTTATACCAGTTGCCATGGTCATGGAATCTCTTCACAGCAATAGAACACTGATTAACATAGCATGTAAAAACTAGGTGGGCATACCAGAGTGCCTATAATCCCAGCTGAGAGACAAGGAATATCAGGAACAAGCTGGCTAGCTAGACTAGTTGATAACGGAGCTCTGGGTTTAACTGAGCCTTTGCCTCAATGAATAAAATGAAGAGTGATGAAAGAAGATAGCCAATGTCAACCTCGGGCCTTATACCCAAGAACACATGTGTGCATGTGTACCACAAACATGTGAAAATATATGTCCAAAACCACACTCACCATGCATGCATATATATGCAAAAAAAAAAAAAACAAAAAAACAAAACAAAACATGAACAAGCTCTATCGACCAAAGCACACTGGTACTGACAAAGCACACATATAGAAGGAACAAACACACACTCATACACGCACACATATCAGAATGCAAGAAAAATAATCCTTGCCTTAGCTACTTTTCCTTATGTGATTAAATACGTGGCATGAAGCAACTGAAGGGGAGACGGGCTGCTTCTGGCTTCTAGGAGATTATTTCATTATGGTGGGGAAGACATGGAAGTGGGAGGGAGCCGAAGGGAGCACCTTGCACCCACAGGCAGGAAGCACAGACTGAATGGGAAGTGTGGCTGGCTACAGGGCCTCAGGGCCTGATGGAAGTGTTTCTAGTGATATTTCCTTTAATAAAACTGCACACGCACACATATACACTTACTGCTAACGCAGAGGACTCGGGTTCAGTTCTCAGCACCCACATTGGGATGTTGACAACTGCCTATAATTCTCACAGGATGAAACACCATCTTCTACACACATGCTGCACATAGATTCACACACACACACACACACACACACACACACACACACAATTTAGATACATATGTACGTATACACACACAAGTAAAAAAAAGAGCTCATTACACAACTTCTCTATCTAAAGCAGTCACTTTCAGAGAGATGAAAACACGATTGGTTGGCCTCAGGAAGTGGGGGTAAAGTGGGGATGGGGAGTGAGTTGTTTAACAGTTTCCACTGGGAAAGAGATGCAATTGTGGGGGAGGATGGGAGTGATATTTAGAGAATAGTGTTAATTCCTTAATGCCACTGAATATTTTAAAGAGTTTACAGTGGTTAATATCATGACCCACATAACTATAAAAGGTGGAAAAGGAAAAGGAAGGATTGGGGGAGGGGAGAAGCATGGGAAGGAAAAGCAGTGAAGGCACAGCGGGCCTTGGACAGTCAGAATCAGAGATCACACATGTACCTCCACAACTTCGGAGAACAAGATGGAGAGTCACACTGGCCGCCATCTGAACTAGTAATAGGGTGACAGTTTATCTTCTGAGATTGATGGACAATCTTCTCATTTTGCAACAGGAACCTGCAATGAGATTCATAAAATAGATCAAGTGACTACATGAAGGCAAGAGAAAGTGTACACAATCTACTTTTTAAATATTTGTCCTCCCAGCCTCCCATCCACCTACTAAACCTCACTTAAGCAAAGTCAGGAAGATAAAAACTATTCGGATGACAAGAGTATTTCTTCAGGTAAATGCTGGTTCTGAATAGAAATCATACTGGATATGCACCATATTGCATTGACACTAAAATTCATGATTACCGTCATGATAGTCTTTTCCTACAAACACTGATAAATAAATTAAATTTAATAAAATAAAATGCCTCGTTCAAGGACATAGGGAAGTTATATTTTAAACCCAGGTGTGGTGTACTACTGAAGGTGAGAGCGTATTTTGTCAACTGAGGCTAACTAAAATGGAGGAGCATTAAACAAGTGAGAGGAAATGGAAGTCAGGGGAGGTGAACTCATGCAGAAACTCCCACCAGACTCCGTAGAGAGATACATGAGGCAACCCCACAAATCATTTAGGGTATCAGCACCTCAGCGTGTGAGGGCTGATGTCATGTCCTGTGAAGGCCCTTTTATCCTCTTTACAATCACATTTAAGATTTAACCTCAGAAACAAAAATCAAGAGCTGGGAATTTGCTTCAACGGTTGAGCATTTGCCTTGTATGTGAGAGGCCCTGTGTTCAATCCCCTGTGCCAGCTAAGCAAGTAAGAATCCAAAGAATATGAATCAAGGCATGAAGAAGAAATTATGGTGGGGAAAGGTTAATAAACTGATTTCCTGTCATCTCTTTTTCTCTAAATCTAGAAAATGAATAACACAAGCTCCCCCCCCCCCAAAAAAAAATAATAATCTGAGGAAAAGAAAGCTTTCTTCATCCACATTAACTTTACGGAAAAGAACATCCTACAGATTGTGTCTACCTTCTAAAATATGATAGATGACAGCGAGTAAAAGCCAGGGTCTGAGACAGATCATCAGATCATTTGGTTCTTAATAGACAGCTGTTGCTGATGTGTGCCTCAGCCCACACTGCAATCCTGAAGCACACACTCTGGCGCTGAGGTTATTAGGCAACTCAGTGAAATGGGACAGAAAACCCCCCAAGGAGCCAGAGCTCCAGAATCTGCTAGACTCATTTCCACGCTCACCCGGGAACCCAGAAAATCACTTTCAGATGCAACCCAGGACAGATACTGCCTGCCAGGAGAAGCTCAGATGTACACAGACTTCCCCAGCAATCCTCCATTGTGCCCTTCCAAGCTACCAGTCTTTTTCTTTTCTTTCTTTTCTTTTTTTCTGGAAATTCACAAACTTCTTCCCCTCACAGCAAAGCTTTATTCCAAGGCTGCCCACTGCCCATCTTTCTCTATCCATTAAGTGCCTGGAAAACATAAGAAGGGGAAACAAAGGGCAAATGCCAGTCTGTGACCTCTGTCTGGATTTAGCCAAGCGTGATGTGTGAATCAGGTGTGTGGAATGGAAGTTTCCATGGCAACGAGACTGCCAGCCAGGCAAGGCCTTCACATACTCTTTCTACCATGGTAATAGAAACAATGAGGCCACCTGAGAGACCTCAGCAAAGAGGGAGGCAGCCAAGTTCAGGGTTATCCAGTGACTGGGAGGATCTGGGTGTGCACGAGGTCCTCCCACAGCCCTAGCTCTGAATTCTTTCCTGTCAGCAGTTACCTATGTCCTATCACCACCCTTTGCAGGTAGAAAGCGTGATCTCTCAAGAGAGTTGCTGGAAAGTGAAGTGGAGAAAGGACTAGGGAGATGTATTTAGCTAACGAGACATCTATGTCTGTCAATATGTCGGGCTACTTTGACCCATTCTGATGACACTAGGTACCTACTTGGCAGAAGTGTTTCCGTCTTCTGGAAGTATCTTTGCCTTACCTCTCAGTGTATTTTGGTTTGTAAAGTCAGACCATCAGAAACAGGTCCTGAGCTACATTTTGTATTTCAGAAGTTTAAAATTTTGCACTAAATTTTAGTGTATAGACACTACAATTATATAAAACTTAAGAAAAACAAAAGTAGAAAAAGAAGAGGGATAAAAAGCAACTAGCTTGTTTTTTTTTAAAGTCCCATGGGTTGGCAGAAAGGAAAAAAAGCATACAATTTTAATGAAATCAAAGCTTGCCTGGGCTCATATGGATGCCCGCCAGTCTGTGCTGAGCTGAGCTTCTCAGATCTTAGACAGGTCAGCAGCAGGCTGTATCTAGAAGGAAACTGGAAGACAGCAAATTCCACTTCCCCTCTCCCCACTGTTTTTAGCTCTGCTCTAAGGAGGGTTTCAATTCCTTCACAGCATCACTCCGTGGGCTGAGGAAAAGTTCCTCCTGCTACTTCAGTTGAAGGCCCTGCTTCAGCAGACTGTGACAAGCCCGAGGTAAGTGGCCTAACCCTCCCAGTGCGCCCGTGGAATGTGTCTCACCACACCTGACCTGACGGGCACCCAGAGGCCGCCTCCTGCCTTTCAGACAGTTCCGTGTGGGGCCCTGGGAAGCACCCACTGCCAAGCGTTGTTGACTGCACCAACCACCCCTGTGGAGCTTCATCCACGGCAGTTCACCGTGACGATGCACACTGAGGGCAAATGCCGTAATACAGGAGGACCCTTCATCAGCCCGAGATAAGTTCAAACATTCCAGAGGATACTGAACCGTGCTGAATATTAAACCCGGTGCACACTCTGCTGTTCCTGGATGTATATATCCACTCTGTGCATGCGTCGTGCTGCTCCTGTATGTATATGCTTCTGATAATGTTTAACTTGTAAGTCAGCAGAGTAAGCAATTAAACAATAACAGAGAAGTTACAACAAATACCATATTTTATTTCAAAATATTACTTATGGGAATGTCTGCCTCTCTCCTTTCCTTGCTTCAGTTCCCTTTTCCTCCCATCTCAAAGTATCTTAATTCATCACTGTACAACAATAATATTTTCAGATCATGGTTGACTACACCAGATGGAAAACTCAGAGCTACCGGTAAATTTACTCTTGTACTCTCTCACCTAGCCCTTTTACTTACTGATTCCTGCACTTAGCATGTAACCACTTCTCAATATTTCTGCTCAGATGTTATTCCTTTTAGGAAGCCTGTCTTTGCAAAATTTTATAACCTTCCTGTCCTTCTGAACTGGCTATTACTTTCTGGGTATGTCTGGAAGAGTGCTTCCAGATGTTTAACTGACAAAATAAGGACCTGTTTTGCATGTGGTCAGCACTGTGCCATTAGGTGGGGCCCCAGATCAAACAGAAAAAGGAGGAATCCAACTGAATCCTTGTCAGTGCCACAGAACGAGCTGTTCCCAATGTCTTGCCTTTCCCACCTACCATACAGGATGCATTCCTCTAAATGTGAGTGAGCGTAAAGCCTATTCTCTTGACTTGTTTTATTTTTTTAATCAATCACCAAAAAAGTAACTAATACATAATCCAAGACACAACTTCATGCATTACCCTCCAACTCCCATTCAACTGGAGTAAGGTGGAGCTTTGTCTACATTCACTTCAGCCTTGGGACTGGCATACACTGGCCCATGAAGATGTACCAAAAAGGAAGGAATCAAAGAGTGAACACACAGGAATGAACAGAGCCTTCTGCTGCCTCTTAGACCCATAACTTCAGAAGAGTTACTTCAGCTCCAAGAACCTGAGTCACTGGTTTGAATGGTGAAGCACCTGCCCAAGATTTTGTAGAGCCATCAAACAGGATCCTGTATGGGAAATGCTCTGCGGAAATTTGAATAAATCTTCATATTAGGCACTTCCCTGTAGGAGGCTAAGAGGAAAAAGAAAAGGATCCATACATGGCTACAGGCACAGCAGTAGTCACAGAATAATGAATGGAGTCACAGGATCCACTAAAAATTCTAGAAATGAATGGTAGATTTCCATATAGAGCACCTACTGACTCTGCTCTCTGGTCCATTTTGAACCTAGAAATTGTTGGTCACAGATTCTCATTTATAACCTCTAATAAATGTGACTACAAATTTAACATGTCAATTAGAGAGTGCTTGGGACTAGGGGATTGTTCAGAGTGCTTTTTTTTTTTTTTTTCAGATTTTCCAGGATATGAAATCACAAAAGAAAAAATATACAGCATCAAGTCATCACCTCTGAAGTTTTAGATAGCGGGACATTGGCTATTTTTCAAGATGTTTGGATAAAGTACAGAATCTGGAAGACTGAGAATGGAACTAGGTCTTTGATTCTTCTCACTCTGAAAGCGCAGTGTTCTCTCTTTGAGATGCTACCATGCCCTTGGATCCATGACAGAGCACACCAGATGGAAAACTCAGAGCTACAGGTAAATCTACCCTCATTCTGATAAAGTTCTGATACTTCTCGCACTGATAAAGTCATATTTTCTTCTGAGCTTGGGTGTTCCTCTCATCGCCCCACAATAATTTTCCTCCCTTTGTGTTTTACCTTGTAAGTGAGGCTCCATTCCTCAGTGTGGGAGGACCTCCCACAATCACTGGAACCAAATCTGGAGAGTCGGAACAGGGGCTAAGTACGGGTTATAAAACACATGATTTGGTATAGAAGGTCAAAGCCAAAAAGTGTATTAAGAGTCAGAAAACAACATCAAGACTGTTGCCAAGAAAACAAAACTGTGTGAGAAAATTGGCTTCCTGTTCAATTAATGATGGTGTTGTATTCTTGTGGATCTTACATGACCCCACTCAAAGCCTCAAATGCTCATGGCCTCCAGCTGACAGTACTATTGGGAGTTGATCAAATCTGATCAAATCTAGGCCAGATGGAGGAAAGGGGCACCACTGGAATATGATCTTAAAGGGAAGGGATAGTGGTACCAGGTCCCATCCTCCCTCTCTGCTTCTTGGCCACCATAATGTAAAGATCTTTTCTCTGCCTTATATTCCCCACTATGAGATAACAGCGGAAAACGACCATGGATCAAGATCTTTACAACTAGCCAAGCACAGCGGCTCACACCTGTAATCCCAGCACTCGGGAGGCACGTGGATCTCTGTGAGTTTGAGGCCAGTTTGATCTACAAAGCAAGTCCAGGACAGCCAAGGCTACACAGAGAAACCCTGTGACAAAACAAACAGAAACAAAACAAAACATCTCTACAACAATTTACAAGAAAGTAAATCTTTCTTCCTTTGAGGTCGATTTTCTCAGGCAGTCTTCCACAGTGATTAAAACATCTACACAAAATGGCTTTAGTTTCAAGATTCTATGACAGATGAACATATGCCATTGGTTACGCATATGTATTGACATAGCATACGTACTGACATGGGGAAAAGTATCTAAGGTGGCTCCTAGCAAAAACACTCCAAATGATCTGCATGCAGGCTTGGAGAATGGTGGAAGAAATGGAAATAGTGCAACATAAATCACCACCAGGGTGATCAGCATGTCACACACCGCAGGAGCACTACAGACTGCAGCAATAACAGACATTGTAAACTGCCTCAGTGAGCTTTGCACATGCAGTGAAAGAAAGGCTCAGAGGCCTGTTGTGTGGCAGAGACATATACACAGACCTGGAAGCAGTTTGCCAGGTTCAAAGCTAAGACCGAGAGGACCAGGTAAAGATGACAGGTCAGGATGGTGCCAGCCATGAATTTGGAAGTTTAGGTTGGGAAAAACTGTAGAACTGGGAAAGATGTAAACACAAGGAAAGGGGGAAAAAAACTTGGAAGGCTGTGTTAGCAGAGGGAAATTAGAGACAATGAAAAAAAATACTCAAAGATCATTAGTAGATACTTAACATTTAAATGCCCACACAACAAGGAGGTAAAATTAATAAAAAGCCACACAAATCAATAAAACCACCACTAAACCCCAGTAGAAAAACATAGAAAAGGGGCTTGCAGAAAAGTTACAGTATCCAACACAATATCCAAGACGCCAATAAAACATAAGAATGTCAGTTCCAACCAAATAAAAAGTTTCCTAAGAAACAATAAAAGTGATAGGAAAGTATTCTTATCAAATTAGGAATGTGTGTGTGCACTTGTGTGTGGAATCATGTGTACATCTGCACTCACCAGTGTGGGTCTAGAGTGCCAACCTTTGCCTTCTGCCCACCTCTCCCTCTACCCCTCTCCCTCTCTTCTCTCTCCGTACTCTCCCTCTTCCCATCTCTCTCTCTCCCTCTCCCCTTCTCTCTCTTTCTCTCTCTCCTTCTTCCCCTCCCCCATTCTTCCTATATACAGGTTCCTCCTTCCTTCTCTCCCTCTTCTGCCTTCCTTTTATCTGTCTGACATATACATCTGGTTAACCGGCCAGTGAGCTTCCAGGAATTCTCCTGTCTCACCTTCTACATCCCCGCAGGAGGGCCAACTTTATAGATATATGCAGAATTCAGAATTCATCTCAGTTTTATATACAGGTTCTTTGAATTTGAACACAGACCCTCATGTTTGCACAGCAAGAGCTCCCCCCTCTCCTCACTGAGCCATCTCCACGGCCCTCGGGAAGCATTTCTTAAAAGGAGGGTCAGTATTGCAAGATGGACAATCTGAAATACTAATGTTGAGAGGTTCAACTTTCTTAAGAAGCAACATTCTGGGATATTCAGGAACCCTTAAAAAGGCAGAATACTCTTCAAAACAAAAATACACCTTGGTAAACATAATCAGGATTTCAGAAAAAGTGTTGCTGAACAAACAGAATGACTTAAGTGTAACACATTAAACTAACACTAACATCACCACACCACAATAAAGAAAACCTAAAACCTATCTGGAAATGGTGATGTGAATTGTGACACAGGAATATCAAGAATCACAATGTGACCATTAAATTTAATGCTGTTTTGTTTTTTTCCTTCATTTCCTAGAGCTGGGGATTAAACCCATAGCCTCACAAATGCTAAGCATGCACACACTCTACTGTGAGCTATACTAAATATGGTATTTATTTTATTGTTTAGGGAAAAGGCCAGAAATATGTGTGTGTGTTTGCATATATATATATCCACAGTGTGTATATATACATACCCTCTTTCTCTCTTAGAAATCAGTACTAAAAGAAAAGACACCCATAATTCTGTCTAGATTATATGACTACAAGGGGTTTGTTCTGCTTTTCTTTTTCTTTTTTACATGTTCAAGTTTTTTTTTTTTCCATAATGAGCATGAATTGCCATATAGTTAAAAGTTACATTTGAGTGGCAAAGTAATCCAGCTGTCCAGGGATAGAGCCTTTACTTTTCCAAACAAGCACAACTCCCTTCTATACCCTGCAACTATGAATGATACTCAGAACTACGCGGAGGGAGCTGGAGATGCAGCTCAGTGGCAGAACACCTTCCCAAAATGTGCTCTGAGGCCATTTCTCACTATCCCATCCATTTGTGCATGGATCATTCAAACATACAAGATTCTTCTTTCCAGGACAAATTCCTTTCAGGAAGTCTTTCATTGTTGTTTTCTCCAGAGATAGCGGTTATAATAAGAGCAAGTCTCAACACCATTTTGAGTCTAGGCTCAAGGGAGCCTAAACCATCAGCTCTGGACAACTGTAGACCACAAAGCCCCATTCTTCCTCTCCATGCCCACCCCCAGACTCCTTGTAGGTCTGTGCCTCCAGCTAGCTTGCATCTGGCTGCCTTCTTTTACAGTGCACAGGCTTGCCTCTGAAATACCGCCTTCAGACCAAGATGGCAGCACCGCCTTTGATTTCTCTGCTGCTTTATTCAACTTGCAGAACAGCATCCTCAGTTCAAAGGCAACTTAAAGGTTT